TTATACATTGATTTTGTACCCTGAAACTTACTAAAGTCATGTATCAACTCAAGGAGTCTTTTGGAGGAGTCTTTAGGGTTTTCCAGGTATAAGATCACATTGTCAGTGAACAGATAATTTGACTTATTTTCCAATTGTAATGCCTTTTATTAATATTTTTTTCTCTTGTCTAATTGCTCTGGCTAAGACTTCCAGTACTATGTTGAATAGGAATGGTGAAAGAGGACATCCTTGTCTTGATCCAGTTCTCAGAAGAAATGCTTTCAAATTTTTTTCTAAGCAGTACAATGTTGACTGTGGGTATGTTGTATATGGCTTTTATTATTTTGCAGTATGTTCCTTCTAGGCCTATTTTGTTGAGGGTTTTCATCATGAAGGAATGTTGAACTTTGTTACATACATTTTCTGCATTTATTGAAATGATTACTTGATTTTTACTTTTAATTCTGTTTATGAAGTGATTCACATTTATTTATTTGCATATGTTGAACAATTCTTGAATTTCTGAAATAAAACCCACTTGTTTGCAGTGTATTGTCTTTTAGATGTGCTGTTAGATTCAGTTTGCTAGTATTTTGTTGAGGATTTTTACATCTATGTTCATCAGGGATATTGGCTTGTAGTTTTCTTCTTTTGCTACATCCTTACCTGCATTTGGTGTCAGGATGATACTAGCTTCATAGAATGAGTTAGGGAGGAGTTCTTCTGTCTCATTTTTTTTGGAACAGTTTCAGTAGAATTGACGTCAGCTCTTCTTTGTACATCTGGTAGAATTTGGCTGTGAATCTGTCTATGCTTGGGCTTATTTTTGGGGGGAGAGAATTAAAATTACCAGTTCAATCTCACTACTGATTAATGATCTGTACAGGATTTCTATTTTTTTCTGGTTCAATTTTGGGAGATTGTAGATTTCCAGGAATTTGTCCATTTCCTCTAGATTTTCTAGTTTGCATGCATAGAGCTGTTCATAGTAGTCTATGATGATCTCTTGTATGTTTGTGATATCAACTGTAATGTCTCTTTTTTCATCTCTGATTGTGCTTATTTGAATCTTCTCTCATTTTCTCCTTGGTTAATCTACTTAGTAGTCTATCAATTTTATTTATCTTTTCAAAAAGCCAACTTTTGTTTTGTTGATTCATTGTATAGTTTTTTGGTCTAAATTTCATTTCTGTGTTGGTCTTTGTTATTTACTTTCTTCTGATAGCTTTGGGTTTGGTTTATTCTTGTTTTTGAGTTGCAATGTTAGGTTGTTAATTTGCAGTTTTTCTGTCTTTGTTTTTTTGATATAGGCATTTAGTGCTATAAACTTCCCTCTTAGTGCTGCTTTTGCTACATTCCAGAGAGTTTGGTATGTTATAGCTCTATTTTCATATGTTTCAAAATTTTTTAAAATGTTCATCTTAATTTTGTCATTGACCCAAAGATCATTCAGAAGCAGGTTGTTTAATTTCACTGTATTTGTATAGTTTTGAATGTTCCTCTTGGTATTGATTTCAAGTTTCATTCCACTGTGGCCCAAGAAGATAACTGATATATTTTTTTTGTTTAATTTATTGAGACTTGTTTTGCGACCTAACATATGGTCTATATGGTCCATTCTGGAAAATGTTCCATGTCCTGAAGAGAATATATGAATATATATCTCTCTATATATATTCTGTAGTTGTTGGGTAGAACGTTCTGTAAATGTCTGTTAGGTCCGTTTGGTCTAGAGTCTAATTTAAGTCCAGAGTTTCCTTGTTGATTTTCTGCCTCTATGATCTAGTGCTGTCAGTGAGGTGTTGGAGTCTTCCACTATTATTATATTACTGTGTATCTCTTTTCTTAGGTCTAATATAATTTGTTTTATGAATATGGGTGCTCTCGTATTGGGTGCATATGTATTTAGAACTGTTATATTTTCTCGTGGAATTGATCCCTGTATCTTAATATAATGGCCTTCTGTGTTACTCCATTTTCACACTGCTATAAAGAACTACCTGAGACTGGGTAATTTATGAAGAAAATGGGTTTAATTGACTCACAGTCCCACAGGCTGTACAGGAATCATGACTGGGAGGCCTCAGGAAACTTATCATCATGGTGGAAGGTGAATAGGAAGCAAGCACATCCTACCATGGTGGAGTGGAAGAGAGAGAAGAGGGAAGTGCTACACACTTCCAAACAACCAGATATTGTGAGAACTCACTCACCATCATGAGGATAGCAGGGGAAACACTCATCTCCATGATCCTCACCTCCCATCAGGAACCTTTCCCAACATTGGGAATTATAACAGCATGAAATTTGGATGGGACACAGAGCAAGACTATATCACCTTCTTTGTCTTTTTTTTTTTTTTCTCATAGCTATCATTAGTGTTAGTGTATTTTATGTGTGGCCCAAGACAATCATTCCTCTTTCAATGTTGCCCAGGGAAGCCAAAAGATTGGACCCTCCTGATTTTGTCCATTCACATTTAAGGTTAATGTTGATGTGTGAGGTTTTGTTTCTGTCATAATGTTAATTGTTACCAAGTGGTTTTGTAGTGTCAATTGTGTAACTATTTAATAAGACCTGTGAATTTTGTACATTCATGTGTTTTTACAATAGTGAGCACTGACCTTTTGTTTCCAAGTTTTGAACACCTTAAAACATTTCTTAGGATTGGTGATGAATTGGTTTAGCATTTGCTTATCTGGGAAAGATTTTATTTCTCTTTCTTTTATAAGGCTTAAATTTAGGAGGATACAAAATTTGTGGTTGACAGTTTTTGTCTTTAGGAAGTTTGAAAATAGGACCCCAATCTATTCTGGCTTGTAAAGGTTCTGCTGAGAAGTTTACTGTTAGTCTGAAGGGATTCCCTATATAGGTAATTAGATCCTTTTTTTCTTGATGATTAGAGGCCCTGATGACTATATGCCTTGGTGAAGTCCATCTTGCGATGCATTTTCCTAGAGCTCTCTGAACTTGTGCCTGGATATCTAAATCTGTCTCTCTCTCTTTTTTAGGTTTTGGGCTCTTTATCTTTTGTTCAAAATTGATGATGAGAAGTATCTATGAATGGCAGTAACCTGAAAAGGCATAAATGAGAAAGAGTGGATGAACTCTGAGTTTTCTGATTTCCATTATGTAAAGTTGCATAAAAAGTATTTTTTTGTTTGTTTTAATTTCTAATTTCAGAGGTACATGTGCAGACTTGTTACCTAGGAAAACTTGTGTCATGGGGCTTTATTGTGCAAATTATTTTATCTCCCAGGTATTAAGCCTAGTACCCATTAGTTACTTTTCCTGATTCTCTCCCTCCTCCCACCCTCTACCATCTAATAGGCCTTAGTGTGTTTTGTTCCCCTCTATTTGTCAATGTGTTCTCATCACTTAGCTCCCAATTATAAGCGAGAACATGTGGTATTTAGTTTTCTGTTCCTGTGTTAGTGTGTGAAGGATTATGGTCTCCAGCTCCATCCATGTCCCTGCAAAGAACATGATCTGGTTTTTTTTGTGTGTGTGGTTGCATAGTATTCCATGGTGTATATGTACATCATGAAACTGAATTTAGCAGAATACAAAATTTGTGGCTGATAAGTTTTTTTTAATACATTTTAAAAAATCTAGTGTATCATTGGTAGGCATTTAGGTTGATTTCATGTCTTTGCTATTGTGAATAGTGCTTCAAAGAACTTTTGTGTGCATGTGTCTTTATAATAAAATGATTTATAGTCCTTTGGGTATATACCCAGTAATGGGATTGCTGGGTCAAGTGGTATTTCTGTCTTTAGAACTTTGAAAAATTACCATACTGTCTTCCACAATGGTTGAAATAATTTGCATTCCCACTGACAGTGTATAAGCGTTCCCTTTTCTCCTCTCCAGCATGGATGTCTAAATTTCTACCAAGCCTATGGAAATATTCCTTAATTATTTCCTCAAATAAGTTTTCCAAACTTTTAACTTTCTCTTCATCTCCCCCAGAAATAGCTATGAATTGTGCATTTGGTTGTTTTACATTATTCCATACTCCTCAAAGGCTTTGCTCATTTTTAAAATTCTATTTTCGTTATTATTGTCTGACTGGGCTAATTCAAAAGATCTGTCTTTGAAATTCTTTTTTCTGTTTGGTCGAGTCTATTATTAAAGCTTTCAACTGTATTTTGTAATTCCTTCAATGAATTTTTCATTTCTAGATGTTCTTTGTGTGTGTTTTTTGTTTTAATGTCTATCTCTTCAGTAATTTTTTCATTGATGTCTTGAATAGTTTTTCTAATTTCTTTGTGTTGGTTTTCAACTTTCTTTTGTATCTCACTGAGCATCTTTAAAATACATATTTTGAATTATTTATCTGGTATTTCAAAGATTTCCTTTGGACTAGAAACCATTGCTAGAGAGTTAGTGTGATTCACTGGGGTGTTTTAACACTCTGTTTTTTCATATTACCAGAATTTTTCCTTTGGTTCCTTCTCATCTAGATAAACTATCTCTTCTTCTCTCTTTCTTTATTTTAATTTACTTTCGTTTGGACAGGAGTTTTTTTTCTTCTTGAGGATGTGACTATTCTGTATGCTCTGTGTGGTTATTTTACTTTGGTTCTGGATGCTTTCAGTGGCAAGGATTCTATGTGTGTTCCATGGTTATAGATAGCTTTTGTGTGGTGGCTTTCTCAAATGCTGATTGTAGCTACATACTGGGTGGGTTTGTGAGCAGGCTCACTGCCTCCTTGGGTATCAGGATAGAGGAAGTCTCCGGAATCTTAACTCATTCCTCACTGTTGTGCACTTGTATCAGCAGGTTTTGTGTTACACTGTGCAGTTCAATCTCCAGGCCATTAGGTGGCATTTACAGGTAACAGCTGACTATCTGCAGAAGCAGATGGGCATATACTTGATCTTTGTTTATTGAGAGAAGCTCTCTTTTGCTTCAGCCAATGGGCTATTCTGTGGATCACCCACAAAGCTGGGTGGAGCTGGACTGTCAAGCTGGACTTTGACCTCATATATCCCAATGGTAAACACAAGCACCAGACCTGACTGGGTGCTTGAGGGAGATCCCGGTGAAATGTGCTGAGGTTTCTGCAGTGGGGAGCACTATCTCAGCTCCATGGCCTGGCGAGGTAGGAATGTAATTCACCTTCCTGTCATGTTTCTGTCCTGGCACTCCAGACACTCAGATAGACAGACCTCTCTGTCTCCAAGCTGCAGTGAATCTGAGAGCCATGAAAGGTACCTGCTCTGTGACTCTCCACAAAAGTGGTTATGGGGCGGAACTTCTTTTCTCAGCCCAAAACATAAAACTTTGAGGCTCTCCTCTTCTCTGCTGCAGGAATGCTGCTGCTCTATGTAGAGAGTGGGAAGGACCCTGCCTTTAGTGCAAGCCTGGGCCTGGTGAGCACACATCCAATGGGGTACATCCACCCCTAACAGTCCTGGAATGACCATCTACCAGCATGCCTATGCCAGTCTCCCATGCGTGCAGCCATGGCTATTTCTGCAGTAGTTGTGGGGAGGGTAGAGAAAAGAGGTCTTCCTCTCCACAGCCATGTTTAAGCACTGGGGCCATATGGCCACTGGGGTGGAACCACATTTCTCTCCCACAGAGCTGAGCATGGCATCTTTGCCTCTGTCGGAAGAGGCACCATCACCTTCACCCCACAAGTGGAAGCTCTCAAGCACAGGAAAGAACATGCTCTGGTTTCCTTTGTCCCAGGGAAGGGGTACTTTCTTGGTGGGTTGCACTCTCTCTTCCCATAGGAGCAGCACTCCCTGAGACCTGGGCCATGGGCATTCTGCAGCTCCGCTAGGTCCAGTCAGGCCTGTGTGGCTGCCACAATCCCAGCTGTTGCTGCGGAATGTCTGCGGGAGATCTGGCAATGTGGAGACACAAGGACTGAGGTTGCCTGGGTAGAAAACAGTCTCACAATGGGTGTGCAGCAAATATGACACCTGCTACCACAACTTGGGTCCAGGAACAGGGTGAGTGACTGTGTGCAGGTTGGTAGTCTGGTGTAATGTCCTCAAGAAGTCCCCAAATCACCACTCATACTAGTGCTTTGGCTCATGAAAGCAGAGGAGACCTCTGAAGTTTGGAAACCAGCAGTCTGCTCCAAGGGTGAAGGGAGCCAAGAACATACCCTTTTGATGAAATACCAAGTCCCTCGGGAGGGTCTGATCTCAGCCAGCCTTTTGCTTCCCTCTTTTTCTGTACCTTAGCTGCTTCTTGTGAATTCTCCACTAGTTCCAGCACTCTCTCCTTAATATTCTATATGAGTTATGATTACTCACCTGTACGTTCGATTCTTCTTTCTGAGGGGAACTGACATGTGACCTTTCTAGTAAGCCATCTTGAAATTTATAAAACCTGAATTTTAGTTTTTTATATTTATGGAAAGGCAATATGTGATTAATGATATGTTTATGGAAATGTTTTGATGTGTAGAATAATATTTATAGATGTAAGTAAAGGATATTTAAAAGGATTTTTTTTTCTACGTGACAGTGTCCAATTTGTCTGAGAAGGTAGCAGAGGGCAAGTACTTTCCCATCCAGCACATGCTGTCAGATCACCTGTGCAGGATTTTCAAAGGCAGTAGAGAAGGGCTGATTTTATGACCTTTAGCTCGATATGTACTTTGAGTATAAGAAGGACTGATATTTAAAGAGAGGATTTTCTGTGTGCTGGGAGTCTGCCCTCACTCACAACACGAGAAAAGTGCTGGGTGCTTCACTCTCACTTCAACCTAGTGTAAAGGGCTGCAAGGTGACCAATCAGGAATCTTGATGTGTTCCTGGATTTGAAGGGACACACTAGTTTACTGCCTGTGTACTATGGAAGGTAATCTTACAATGAAATATTGGCTGAAGCCATGTGTGAAGGTGGGGAAAGAGCTAAGGCTGCACTTTTACCATTTGGCAAGAAGTGGGTACTTTCCCATGGGCCTGATGTGAAAGCTGGAGCCTCTGGAATGAATTCTGCAAAGGCAAGGGGGTCCTGGAAGTGTGGGAATGTGGGATTTGTTGCAGAGGCAGGAGCTGATGAGGAGTAGCAGTTGGTCAGCTAAAGAAGATACATCAGGGACCCCTGAAGAATTCACAATCACGTGCTCAAGAAAAAAGTCAGCTTTGGTCATTCATCACACCACCAAGAGCATCAACACTGAGCAAATCAAGCAGGTCTTTTCCTGCTTCCTTATCTTTTGTTTCTCTCCTCTTGCAACCCTGGGGATTTGGGTGTAAGGTAGAGAGAAGCTGATGGAGAAACAAGATGTCTGTTTTCTTTTTTTTCCAGTGTAAGTTTCCAAAAGAGGCCCAATCTGGAGGAGGGAGAAAGAGTCAACTTAAAATGACTTGTGGAGTTTTAACTATTACAAGAATCTGTTTGAATTAGTGAAATGAGACAATTCTTGCAAGTAGAAATGACTATAGAATTTTTAATTGTTCAGCAACAAACAGAAAATCTTTTTCATCCAGGGACAGGGAAAAAAATAGTTACACCCCAGAGAGCAGGTATTATGGGCTGGCATTGAGGTGGAAAGAATTACAATGGTCAATGACTTTATTTTTTAAAGACAGGTTTACCCATGATTGTTATGTAAATACATTAATAATCAAACACTGTTTGCTGACATGTTCAAATGATTAAGTTTTCTGTGAATTATCAATATTAAATTTTTAAAAAGTTAGAAAGCATTTAGTAAAATCATTTCAAGGTTTATTTATACTTTTTTTTTTTAAATTCTGGCTGCAATTTGAAAAATTGGGGTCATTTCTTGAAGATGAGATTTTAATGAAGTTTTTAAAGAAAACGCGGGAATAAGTATAGAAACTTAAGGTGGGAGAAGGTAAATGCAATGCAAGTAGAGAAAATGAATAGGTGGCTTTAAGAAAGAATTGGAAACTGAAGGGATACAGGGGGAATTCGAGAGAAACAAGTGCATGTGTGTATGTCTGTTGCTCATAGTGGTGAGGGTATAAGCATCCTTCTCCCTAAATCTAATCTTTCTCTTAAACTAACAGGTGCCTTGAACTTTAGGAAAAGTAAAATTTGAAAGTGTATCTTCACATTATTTAGTGATCTTTTCTTCCCTTAACATGTCTTTTTTTCAGAGCTCTTCTCCGTGGTTTGGCATGGCTACAGTTTACTGTCCTATTTTAAGAGACAATCCCAGGTTATTATGAGGAGGGTTAGCTGAGGAGACAGAGCAGGACCGTCTCCCAAATCTTCTTCTGGAAGGCATGAACCAAGCATGTACAAGCAATAAACCTATTTCCACAAGCTTGTTAGTGTACTAAGCCACATACAACATTGATATATTAGTGCTAAATCTCAAATTAGCTACTGGATTTTTAGAACTAGGGGAGGAGAGCCAAACAAAGAAGTTTCTTCTGAATCTATAGCAGCTCCAGGCAGCTGATGAGCTACCAGCCGCTAGTCCTATGAACAGATATTCTGGGCTGTCTATTTATAGTGCCATCTTGTCACATGGGCTGGCATTGTTGTCTGGCGTTATGCTTTACAGTCAGGGAGCTTTACTTTTCGAATAGCCAACTCCTTTCAGTAGACTAAATGGGATTTTAAGCAGGCCGGCACTGAGTCCTGGACTGTACAGCCAAAAAGGTGTAGAAGCTCTAACTCCTTCATTTTTTTTACATAGGGAGAAATTGAGGTCCCTAAAGATTAGGACAGTGATTAGTTAGACTTAGAAATACACCCTACGCCTCTTGACTCCCAAGTCTAGTGCCTTTAGCAAAAACTTAAACTAAGAATTTTGTTTTGTTTTGTTTGGAGGGGGGTAAGTTTTAGATACGAGGAGGCCAAAGATTTTTTTTTAATTCTTAAAACATATAATTAAACAAATTAACATTTTATAGTGTCTGAGGCTCCTCTATTATTTGCATAAGCAAAGGAAGAAAAAGAGATGTGTATTCTTTCAACACTTGCCACTGATAATGGTAAATATAAGTTAACAATGGCATGATCTGAATAACTTCAAGAGAGACTCAACCGTGCTTATTTAGGTGTAGGCTTAACACATTTAGGTGTACTCAACTGACCAGTGGTGTCTGTGACCCTGCGTAAGGCATTAAACAGTCCTGAAAATGTCTCCTCTGCTGTTAAAAAAACTGAGCCAGACTCATTTACATGTAAAATTTTAAAAATTGTAAAATATGAGGATAAAGTATTAACATTATTTTTTGTAATTGCTACATTGTAATTACAGAAGTGCATCCTCTTCTGTATACACTTGTTACCAGGGCGACTGCATGGATAGTCTATGGAGTTGTACTCCAGGGGTGCAGTTAACATAGACTGCGGGGCAAGTAGTGGCCTCACTGGCTTTGAGCTGTGCAAGGACCCTGTTACCATATGTGATTATACCTTTTTGTTAAAAATAATTTTTTATTTTTTATTTTTGTGTGTATATGGTAGGTGTATGCGTTTATGGGGTACATGAGATGTTATGATACAGGTATGCAATGCATAGTAATCACATTATGGAAATGGGGTGTCCATTCCCTCAAGCATTCATCGTTTGTGTTACAAACTATCCAATTATAGTCTTTTCATTATTTTTTTAAATGTACAGTTAAATTATTATTGACTATAGTTACCCTGTTGTGCTATCAAATACTAGGCCTTATTTATTCATTCTATTTTTGTGTACCCATTAACCGTCCCCTCCTCCCCGACACCTCCCACTATCCTTCCCAGCCTCTGGTAACCATTCTTCTACTTTCTGTCTTGCGGGCTGTCTGTATATACATTGTGCAGCGCAGGATTACTCTGCAGAACATGGCCCTGGGTAGCCTTTTCCTGGTAGAATGCCTCTTGGATTTTATAACTTCAAACATGCTTAGGTCTTAAATTAATATTTTTGACAATGTTTATAAGAAATTATAAGTGCACCTCATTTCATTGCATTCACTTTATTGCACTTTTCAGGTAGTCTATTTTGTACAAATTGAAGGTTTGTGGCAACCCTGCATCAAGCAAGTCTATTGGCGCCGTATTTCCAACAGCACGTGCTCACTTCATGTCTGTGTGTCACGTTTTGGTAATTCTCACAATATTTTATACTTTTTCATTATTATATATACTATGGTGATTGTGATCAGT